AGCCCGATGTGGGACTCGATCCCAGGACCCTGGGATCATGACCTGAGCCGAAGGCAGACGCTTAACCATCTGAGCCACCCAGGCGCCCCTAATGCTTACCATTATTGTCATCTAAATCACTAAGAGAAATATCAGTAAATTCAGCCAAACTTCCAATAAACAGTTGCTGAGTAAATATGACCGCAAATATAACAGTGACCAGTGTAAGCAGAACTCTTCATTTCACTGTGGATAGCAAATAGGAGCTCCTACTAAGGAATATTTCAAAATTATATTGCTATTATCTCCAGGACAGAAATGCAAAATAACCCATAAAAGGGATATATTATAACCCCAAATAATAACAATGCCTGCTTGAGCAGTATCTTCTTCCCTGCAGGCACAGTTACAAAGGAGCTAGTCCTAATGGAGAAGAAAATATAATAATAATAAAAAATCAAACTTCAGGGTGTTGTCAGAGGTCCACTCCACTTCACAGTAAATTTGTTTTAATCTTAATAGACGAAGAAAAAGAAAACAGAGAATACAATGAGGAAAAATATTTTAACCTTCAGGATCTAGTTCACCCTATTTTTCCTAAACCTGTTTATTTGAAAAAAGCAACAGTTGTGAAGATGAAGGATCTAAGTTAGCAGCAAAGCTGCCAGAAGGATGTCCCCTCACTTGAAATTTCCTTGCTTTCCTCTAAGGACCCAAAGTGCACGCAATATAAGTGGCAGCTTCTCGCCCATCATTGCTGAGGACTCACTTTTTCCTGCCTGGTAAATGCTGGCGTGCAGGGTGAAAGCTCAAGTGTCAGAGGAGGGAAGGGGCTGATGCTCCAAGTGTGGGGACAGGGGCCTATGGGGTCTGTCTGGGTCAGGAGCTGACCTCGCTAGAGGAGCAGCATCAAGTGGTCAAGGGCATTTCCAGACCAAGAAAGAGGAGGGGGATCAAGGTGAAACGTTTAAAGCATTTTCTTAGATTGTTTGCATACAGTTCATTCTGTAAGAACTTCAGGTTTTGATACGAAGAAACAAGTGATGAGAGCATTATGATCATGAGACTGGAAAACTACTTTTCTTTATTTTAACTCCCTATGGGTATTTTTTAAAAACATGTCCTGTAAAAAAAAAAAAAAAAATACTGAGGGCAATGGTACCGACTCTGATGTTTTAAGGATGACTTTATTCTAGCTCACTATTTTTTTTTTTTT